CAGACTTAGAAAAGTGTACGTGTGATGGTTAGGCATAAAAATACGATTATTTATTGTTTATTTGAAACAACGTCTAGTTGCGGCCGCAACCGGACTAGATTGTGAACGACTCTTGGCGGAATTCTTGACTGCCGCAAGGGAGAGATTAGCACAATATTGTTCAAACTGCAGCAGCCCCCCAAACAATTGGTTCAAGTTCAAGTGTTGAGCAGAGGCAGGCTGGTTATGTTTTGGTTCTACAAAGGTCTGTCCATCGACAAAATTCAATAATAAACTAACTGCATTCCTTCTTGCACCATGCGATCAATTAAAAGTTCTAAACATGTATTTTTGTTCTCTGTGCTCACGATCTATTTTCCTGCGCGCATATGACAGACAGTTGGTGGTCGGAGCACGTCTCTGAAGCTGCTGAGCCAGCGTCTATTAATCCTGCTGTAGGACTCATTGCGGCCAGCACTAGTAGGTCGAACGAACGACTACAATCAACAAATCACTCAGAAAAACGAATCATGACTCTCCAGCTAGTGAAAAGAGACGTTGAAAAAGAACTGCACATCACTAGCATGCAACAGAGGGAAAAGGGAAGTGACATCACCTTGAAGCCTCCTCCTACTTCTCCTATTACATTCTCCACAGGGACTGGACAGTTGTCGAACGACACTTCACATGCTGGGGGACAGAGACACATCAGTTACAGAACAGTGGATTTCCCTTGGCTACCTGACAGCTACAGTTCAGAACAGTGGATTTCCCTTGGCTACCTGACAGCTACAGTACAGAACAGTGGATTTCCCTTGGCTACCTGACAGCTACAGTTCAGAACAGTGGATTTCCCTTGGCTACCTGACAGCTACAGTTCAGAACAGTGGATTACCCATGGCTACCTGACAGCTACAGTTCAGAACAGTGGATTTCCCTTGGCTACCTGACAGCTACAGTTCAGAACAGTGGATTTCCCTTGGCTACCTGACAGCTACAGTTCAGAACAGTGGATTTCCCTTGGCTACCTGACAGCTACAGTACAGAACAGTGGATTTCCCTTGGCTACCTGACAGCTACAGTTCAGAACAGTGGATTACCCTTGGCTACCTGACAGCTACAGTTCAGAACAGTGGATTACCCTTGGCTACCTGACAGCTACAGTTCAGAACAGTGGATTACCCATGGCTACCTGACAGCTACAGTTCAGAACAGTGGATTTCCCTTGGCTACCTGACAGCTACAGTTCAGAACAGTGGATTTCCCTTGGCTACCTGACAGCTACAGTTCAGAACAGTGGATTTCCCTTGGCTACCTGACAGCTACAGTTCAGAACAGTGGATTTCCCTTGGCTACCTGACAGCTACAGTACAGAACAGTGGATTTCCCTTGGCTACCTGACAGCTACAGTTCAGAACAGTGGATTTCCCTTGGCTACCTGACAGCTACAGTTCTTGTTACAATGCTTTTAAATCCTTAAAGAAGAGGAGTGAATGAGTTCACACAAAGGAGAACAGGTATTATTGGCCTCTGTAGCTATATCTTGCCAACTACTTTAATGATTTTTTTCATTGGCAATATTAGCAAACTTATGCATGACATGCCAGCAACAAACACTGACACTACACATCCAAGTATAACTGACCAGATTATGAAAGACAAGCATTGTAATTTTGAAGTCCGTAAAGTGAGTGTGGAAGAGGTGAAACAAGTATTGTTGTCTATCAACAATGACAAGCAAAAAGGATCTGACAACTTGGATGGAAAATTACTGAGGATAATAGCGGATGATATTGCCACTCCTATTTGCCATAAATTCAATTTAAGCCTACTAGAAAGTGTGTGCCCTCAGGCCTGGAGGGAAGCAAAAGTCATTCCGCTACCTAAGAATAGTAAAGCCCCCTTTACTGGCTCAAATAGCCGACCAATCAGCCTGTTACCAACCCTTAGTAAACTGTTGGAAAAAATTGTGTTAACATCAACAGAAGTACTGTAGTTAATTCCACTAGGCTAACATCAACAGAAGTACTGTAGTTAATTCCACTAGGCTAAGCTAACATCAACAGAAGTACTGTAGTTAATTCCACTAGGCTAACATCAACAGAAGTACTGTAGTTAATTCCACTAGGCTAAGCTAACATCAACAGAAGTACTGTAGTTAATTCCACTAGGCTAAGCTAACATCAACAGAAGTACTGTAGTTAATTCCACTAGGCTAACATCAACAGAAGTACTGTAGTTAATTCCACTAGGCTAAGCTAACATCAACAGAAGTACTGTAGTTAATTCCACTAGGCTAACATCAACAGAAGTACTGTAGTTAATTCCACTAGGCTAAGCTAACATCAACAAAAGTACTGTAGTTAATTCCACTAGGCTAACATCAACAGAAGTACTGTAGTTAATTCCACTAGGCTAAGCTAACATCAACAGAAGTACTGTAGTTAATTCCACTAGGCTAAGCTAGCATCAACAGAAGTACTGTAGTTAATTCCACTAGGCTAACATCAACAGAAGTACTGTAGTTAATTCCACTAGGCTAAGCTAACATCAACAAAGTACTGTAGTTAATTCCACTAGGCTAACATCAACAGAAGTACTGTAGTTAATTCCACTAGGCTAAGCTAACATCAACAGAAGTACTGTAGTTAATTCCACTAGGCTAAGCTAACATCAACAGAAGTACTGTAGTTAATTCCACTAGGCTAAGCTAACATCAACAGAAGTACTGTAGTTAATTCCACTAGGCTAAGCTAACATCAACAGAAGTACTGTAGTTAATTCCACTAGGCTAAGCTAGCATCAACAGAAGTACTGTAGTTAATTCCACTAGGCTAAGCTAACATCAACAGAAGTACTGTAGTTAATTCCACTAGGCTAACATCAACAGAAGTACTGTAGTTAACGCCACTAGGCTAGGCTAACATCAACAGAAGTACTGTAGTTAATTCCACTAGGCTAAGCTAACATCAACAGAAGTACTGTAGTTAATTCCACTAGGCTAAGCTAACATCAACAGAAGTACTGTAGTTAATTCCACTAGGCTAAGCTAGCATCAACAGAAGTACTGTAGTTAATTCCACTAGGCTAAGCTAACATCAACAGAAGTACTGTAGTTAATTCCACTAGGCTAAGCTAGCATCAACAGAAGTACTGTAGTTAATTCCACTAGGCTAAGCTAACATCAACAGAAGTACTGTAGTTAATTCCACTAGGCTAAGCTAACATCAACAGAAGTACTGTAGTTAATTCCACTAGGCTAAGCTAACATCAACAGAAGTACTGTAGTTAATTCCACTAGGCTAAGCTAACATCAACAGAAGTACTGTAGTTAATTCCACTAGGCTAACATCAACAGAAGTACTGTAGTTAATTCCACTAGGCTAAGCTAACATCAACAGAAGTACTGTAGTTAATTCCACTAGGCTAAGCTAACATCAACAGAAGTACTGTAGTTAATTCCATAGGCTAAGCTAACATCAAAGGGTAGTTCCACTAGGCTAAGCTAGCATCAACAGAAGTACTGTAGTTAACTCCACTAGGCTAAGCTAACATCAACAGAAGTACTGTAGTTAACGCCACTAGGCTAGGCTAACATCAACAGAAGTACTGTAGTTAACTCCAACAGCAACAGTAGGTATAGATGTGTTCTTACTGTTAGACCCCCTAATGCCTAGTTTGTCTTCTGGCTTCCCGCTGGTGATCCCTCCAAAGGCTCGCTCTACGATGAAGGCACTGATCTTATCTTTCTTCACTCCATCCTCCCCCACCACCTCAGTACGAGCAAACACCGTCATCAGGTCTGCAAACCCCCCGTTGGAGATCCAGATCTGGCAGAAGATACAGAAACACTACTTAGTTACTGACTTTCAGACACACACCTGTCCTTTCCATCTAATCATCGTAGCACTAACAGCAGTTAGCTAACATGACTGACAGGCAAAACACAGGTAGAAGGATAATGTGTCTCACCTTTGACCCGTTGAGCAGGTATGTTTTCCTGTCCTCTGATAGGGTGGCTTTGGTCTGAATGGACGCAGCATCACTCCCACTGAAACACACAAGATCCACGTGAAACACTGTCAGATTCAGAGAACATGACAAAACCAAGATTTTAAAATACACAACCACAGTTCTGTCATTTGCTGGTATTACAAGAGCTGGAAAGCTTTACAGCAGCTAAAAAACCAGCTTTACGGCATGCAGATCCAGATGATATGTGACTGGTCGAAAAGCAGAATGGTGTCATCCAGAGTTGGTTCAGCATGGTAAGATTTCAGCAGGCTGTGTTGCAGTAGGTAGGTACCTGCCAGGCTCAGTGAGACAGAAGGCTGTGTTGCAGTAGGTAAATACCTGCCAGGCTCAGTGAGACAGAAGGCTGTGTTGCAGTAGGTAGGTACCTGCCAGGCTCAGTGAGACAGAAGGCTGTGTTGCAGTAGGTAGGTACCTGCCAGGCTCAGTGAGACAGAAGGCTGTGTTGCAGTAGGTACATACCTGCCAGGCTCAGTGAGACAGAAGGCTGTGTTGCAGTAGGTAAATACCTGCCAGGCTCAGTGAGACAGAAGGCTGTGTTGCAGTAGGTACATACCTGCCAGGCTCAGTGAGACAGAAGGCTGTGTTGCAGTAGGTAAATACCTGCCAGGCTCAGTGAGACAGAAGGCTGTGTTGCAGTAGGTAAATACCTGCCAGGCTCAGTGAGACAGAAGGCTGTGTTGCAGTAGGTAAATACCTGCCAGGCTCAGTGAGACAGAAGGCGGTGTTGCAGTAGGTACATACCTGCCAGGCTCAGTGAGACAGAAGGCTGTGTTGCAGTAGGTAAATACCTGCCAGGCTCAGTGAGGACAGAAGGCTGTGTTGCAGTAGGTAGGTACTGCCAGGCTCAGTGAGACAGAAGGCTGTGTTGCAGGTAGGTAATACCTGCCAGGCTCAGTGAGACAGAAGGCTGTGTTGCAGTAGGTAAAATACCTGCCAGGCTCAGTGAGACAGAAGGCTGTGTTGCAGTAGGTAAATACCTGCCAGGCTCAGTGAGGACAGAAGGCTGTGTTGCAGTAGGTAGGTACCTGCCAGGCTCAGTGAGACAGAAGGCTGTGTTGCAGTAGGTAAATACCTGCCAGGCTCAGTGAGACAGAAGGCTGTGTTGCAGTAGGTAAATACCTGCCAGGCTCAGTGAGACAGAAGGCTGTGTTGCAGTAGGTAAATACCTGCCAGGCTCAGTGAGACAGAAGGCTGTGTTGCAGTAGGTAAATACCTGCCAGGCTCAGTGAGACAGAAGGCTGTGTTGCAGTAGGTAAATACCTGCCAGGCTCAGTGAGACAGAAGGCGGTGTTGCAGTAGGTACATACCTGCCAGGCTCAGTGAGACAGAAGGCTGTGTTGCAGTAGGTAGGTACCTGCCAGGCTCAGTGAGACAGAAGGCGGTGTTGCAGTAGGTACATACCTGCCAGGCTCAGTGAGACAGAAGGCTGTGTTGCAGTAGGTACATACCTGCCAGGCTCAGTGAGACAGAAGGCTGTGTTGCAGTAGGTACATACCTGCCAGGCTCAGTGAGACAGAAGGCTGCTACATGTTCTCCTGAAGCCAGCTTGGGAAGATATTTAGCCTTCTGCTCCTCACTACCAGCTATCAGGATCCCCTAACACACGGCAAGACATCACAGGTTCACAAACAGCAGTAACATTATACAACACATCCATCGGTGCAGGACTCTTTACCTTGAGTCCGATGGCTTGGTGGGCAGCCAGTGTAACTGCTATGGATCCATCCAGAGAGATGATCTCTCCTAGTCGGGCGTACATGGTGTTGGACAGACCCAGGCCACCTAGGAAGAGACAGGATGTTATGTTACAATGTTTTTCCAGAAGTAACAAGACGGTCTCTGATACACTATGAAGACCTTCCCAATGATATGTCTAATGTGTGTCCAGGCTGTGACCTCACCATACTCCTCAGGAACCTGGATACCGAACAGTCCCAGCTCCTTCAGTCCGTTCAGAGTCTCTGGAGGAATCTTAGCCTCATGGTCGATACGCTTGGAGTCCACTGAAACACAAGGACAGGTCTCAGAATACAACAATACTTACAGATGAAGTCGGAAGTTTACATACACCTTAGCCAAATACATTTAAACACAGTTTTTCACAATTCCTGACATTTAATCCTAGTAAAAATTCCCTGTCTTAGGTCAGTTAGGATCACCACTTTATTTTAAGAATGTGAAATGTCAGAATAATAGTAGAGAGAATGATTTATTTCAGCTTTTATTTATTTCATCACATTCCCAGTGGGTCAGAAGTTTACATACACTCAATTAGTATTTGGTAGCATTGCCATTAAATTGTTTAACTTGGGTCAAACGTTTCAGGTAGCCTTCCACAAGCTTCCCACAATAAGTTGGGTGAATTTTGGCCCATTCCTCCTGACAGAGCTGGTATAACTGAGTCAGGTTTGTAGGCCTCCTTGCTCGCACACGCCTTTTCAGTTCTGCACACACATTTTCTATAGGATTGAGGTCAGGGCTTTGTGATGGCCACTCCAATACCTTGACTTTGTTGTCCTTAAGCCATTTTAAGGTCTACAATTCTTTTTCTGAGGTCTTGGCTGATTTCTAAAGATTTTCCCATGATGTCAAGCAAAGAGGCACTGAGTTTGAAGGTAGGCCTTGAAATACATCCACAGGTACACCTCCAAATTGACTCAAATGATGTCAATTAGCCTATCAGAAGCTTCTAAAGCCATGACATCATTTTTTGGAATTTTCCAAGCTGTTTAAAAAAGGCACAGTCAACTTAGTGTACAGTCGTGGTCAAAAGTTTTGAGAGTGACACAAGTATTGGTCTTCACAAAGTTCGCTGCTTCAGTGTTATGAGATATTTTTGTCAGATGTTACTATGGTATACTGAAGTATAATTACAAGCATTCCATAAGTGTCAAAGGCTTTTATTGACAATTACATTAAGTTTATGCAAAGAGTCAATATTTGCAGTGTTGACCCTTCTTTTTCAAGACCTCTGCAATCCGCCCTGGCATGCTGTCAATTAACTTCTGGGCCACATCCTGACTGATGGCAGCCCATTCTTGCATAATCAATGCTTGGAGTTTGTCAGAATTTGTGGGTTATTGTTTGTCCACCCGCCTCTTGAGGATCGACCACAAGTTCTCAATGGGATTAAGGTCTGGGGAGTTTCCTGGCCATGGACCCAAAATGTTGATGTTTTGTTCCCCGAGCCACTTAGTTATCACTTTTACCTTATGGCAAGGTGCTCCATCATGCTGGAAAAGGCATTGGTCACCAAACTGTTCTTGGATGGTTGGGAGAAGTTGCTCTCGGAGGATGTGTTGGTACCATTCTTTATTCATGGCTGTGTTCTTAGGCAAAATTGTGAGTGAGCCCACTCCCTTGGCTGAGAAGCAACCCCACACATGAATGGTCTCAGGATGCTTTACTGTTGGCATGACACAGGACTGATGGTAGCACTCACCTTGTCTTCTCCAGACAAGGTGTTTTCCAGATGCCCCAAACAATCGGAAAGGGGATTCATCAGAGAAAATGACTTTACCCCAGTCCTCAGCAGTCCAATCCCTGTACCTTTTGCAGAATATCAGTCTGTCCCTGATGTTTTTCCTGGAGAGAAGTGGCTTCTTTGCTGCCCTTCTTGACACCAGGCCATCCTCCAAAAGTCTTCGCCTCACTGTGCGTGCAGAAGCACTCACACCTGCCTGCTGCCATTCCTGAGCAAGCTCTGCACTAGTGGTGCCCCGATCCCGCAGCTGAATCAACTTTAGGAGACGGTCTTGGCGCTTGCTGGACTTTGTTGGGCGCCCTGACGCCTTCTTCACAACAATTGAACCTCTCTCCTTGAAGTTCTTGATGATCCAATAAAATGGTTGATTTAGGTGCAATCTTACTAGCAGCAATATCCTTGCCTGTGAAGCCCTTTTTGTGCAAAGCAATGAGGACGGCATGCATTTCCTTGCAGGTAACCATGGTTAACAGAGGAAGAACAAAGATTTCAAGCACCACCCTCCTTTTAAAGCTTCCAGTCTGTTATTCTAACTCAAATCAGCATGACAGAGTGATCTCCAGCCTTGTCCTCGTCAACACTCTCAACTGTGTTAACGAAATAATCAGGGCAGGGCTGAAATGCAGTGGAAATGTTTTTTGGGGATTAAGTTCATTTTCATGGCAAAATTTCTCACTCAGTTTTGATGATGGCAAATTCATCTGATCACTCTTCATGACATTCTGGAGTATATGCAAATTGCCATCATCAAAACTGAGAAAGCAGACTGTGAAAATTAGTATTTGTGTCATTCTCAAAACTTTTGACCACGACCGTATGTAAACTTCTGACCCACTGGAATTGTGATACAGTGAATTCTAAGTGAAATAATCTGTCTGTAAACAATTGTTGGAAAAATTACTTGTGTCATGCACAAAGTAGATGTCCTAACCGACTTGCCAAAACTATAGTTTGTTAAAAATAAATGTGTGGAGTGGTTGAAAAACGAATTTTAATGACTCCAACCTAAGTGCATGTAAACTTCCGACTTCAACTGTATCCATGAAACGCAAGGTCTCTTTGAATGTCTCTCAGAATAAAATAATAATATGCCATTTAGCAGACGCTTTGACTGGACAAGGGCTCTTAGAATAGCACTGAAAGACAACAGTCTCTCTAAACACTTCACTAGTACGAAGGGCTCTTAGAATAGAAGCACACTTGGAATCTGAGTCTTGTCTAAGGACAGCAGTCTCTCCTCTCAGTCTCACCCTCCTCAGTGAAGAACTTCTCAACCGGAGCAACAAACGAGTTGATCTCCTCCAGCTCTTCTTTTCCAATCTCTGGATAGGGGAAGCACTCGGCCTGGAGAGACAGACACACAGAAAGAATCAGATACTTAGTTAATTTATCCATTATTATGACAAACTAGCTAATGGCTTTTAGGATTTTCTCATTGTCCAAAGCTAAAAATGGCTTGCCTCTGGCTAGAGGTGACAGCTGACAATAACAATGGAAAAGATAGTTATGGGTGGCACTGACTGACAACAACTGAGCAAGTAATCACATATTTCTTAGCCAGTATTGCTAATCAACATTGTATTCATTATCTAGAATTAAAAAAGCATAATACATAAATATCTAGCTAGCAGCTTACTTTGTTCATTTTGCCGAGGAACAGGTCCTTGGCGTAGGCAAGATTCCTAGCATGAGTTCTGATGGCTCGGTGAGTTACGGTGACTTCTTTCGCCACATCTCTTACGTTAGATGTTAGTAAAGTCTTTCCACATTTAACAGATTTGGATAACGCTATAAGTCTGTTAATATTCATTGTCCTGACAAATGTTCACCTCTCCCCGACTTCTGCTGCTTCCGAAAATGGGTTAAAAGCAGGTTGGAAGATAGTCGTAGCTATCTGGGATCCATGGGACGTCCCAGCAGTGACGTCACACATGGAATTTGACGTTTTAAATGGTTAAGGTAATGGTTAAGGTAAGGGTTAACGTAATGGTTAAGGTAATGGTTAAGGTTAGGTAAAGATTCTGGTTAGAATTCGGGTTTAGGTTAGGGTTAGGATTTAGGGTAGGGACGTCCCAGGGATCCCAGATAGCTCTAAATGTAGACAGACGTTGGGATACCTTTCACCTCGTTCTGTCGCATACTAATGACGCAAGATGGGCGTTTCGTAATGAATCAGCTGCCTGCAATTCTTCATTATACCTCTGGAGGGAAATGTTTAGTCAATAACACAATTTACATGGACGTGCTCAGGGCCTGCTAAAAAACCAATGGACACATTTCTGTATCCTGTACATCTATACTGAACAAAAATATAAACGCAACATGCAACAATTTCAAAGATTTTACTGAGTTACAGTTCATATGGGGCGGCAGGTAGCTTAGTGGGTAAGAGCGTTGTGCCAGTAACCGAAAGGTCGCTGGTTCTAATCCCCGAGCCGACTAGGTGAAAAATCTGTCGATGTCGATCTGTCGAAGGCACTTAACCCTAATTGCTCCTGTAAGTCGCTCTGGATAAGAGCGTCTGCTAAATGACTAAAAATGTAAAAAAAATATATATATATAAGGAAATCAGTCAATTGAAACAAATGCATTACTCCATAATCTATGAATTTCACATGACTGGGAATACAGATACGCATCTGATGGTCACAGATACCTTAAAAAAAAGGTAGTGGCAAGGATCAGAAAACCAGTCAGTATCTGGTGTGACCGCCATTTACCTCATGCAGTGCAACACATCTTCGCATAGAGTTGATCAGGCTGTTGATTGTGGCCTGTGGAATGTTGTCCCACTCTGCTTCAAAGGCTGTGCAAAGTTGCTGGATATTGGTGGGAACTGGAACATGTCGTACACATCGATCCAGAGCATCCCAAACATGCTCAATGACTGACATGTCTGGTGAATATGCAGGCCATGGAAGAACTGGGACATTTTCTGCTTCCAGGAATTGTGAACAGATCCTTGCGATATGGGGCCGTGCATTATCATGCTGAAACATGAGGTGATGGCGGCGGATGAATGGCAGGACAATGGGCCTCAGCATCTCGTCACGCTATCTCTGTGCACTCAAATTGCCATCGATAAAATGCAATTGTGTTCATTGTCCATCGCATTGTGTTGTGTGACAAAACTGCACATTTTAGAGTGGCCTTTTATTGTCCCCTGCACAAGGTGCACCTGTGTAATGATCATGCTGTTTAATCAGCTTCTTGATATGCCACACCTGTCAGGTGGATGGATTATCTTGGCAAAGGAGAAATGCTCACTAGCAGGGATGTAAACAAATTTGTGCACACAATGAGAGAAATAAGCTTTTTGTGCATATGGAACATTTCTGGGATCTTTTATTTCAGCTCATGAAATATGGGACCAACACTTTACATGTTGCGTTTATATTTATTTTCAGTGTATATTAAACTAACATATGGAAGCCAATTCAAATCAAATCAAATGTTATTTGTCACATGCGCCGAATACAACAGGTGTAGACATTACAAGCCCTTAACCAACAACGCAGTTTAAAAAAAATAAGAGTTAAGAAAATATTAACTAAATAAACTAAAGTAAAAAATAAAAGAGCAAAAATAAAATAATAAGGAGGCTACATACACCGGGTCAATGGTACCGGGTCAATGGTACCGGGTCAATGGGGGTACCGGTACCGGGTCAATGGGGGTACCGGTACCGGGTCAATGGTACCGGGTCAATGGGGGTTCCGGTACCGGGTCAATGGTACCGGGTCAATGGTACCGGGTCAATGGGGGTACCGGTACCGAGTCAATGGGGGTACCGGCACCGAGTCAATGGGGGTACCGGTACCGAGTCAATGGGGGTACCGGTACCGGGTCAATGGTACCGGGTCAATGGGGGTACCGGTACCGAGTCAATGGGGGTACCGGTACCGAGTCAATGGGGGTACCGGCACCAATTCTTTCTTGGGCGCCCTGACGCCTTCTTCACAACAATTGAACCGCTCTCCTTGAAGTTCTTGATGATCCGAAAATTGTTGATTTAGGTGCAATCTTACTAGCAGCAATATCCTTGCCTGTGAAGCCCTTTTTGTGCAAAGCAATGATGACGGCACGTGTTTCCTTGCAGGTAATCATGGTTAACAGAGGAAGAACAATGATTTCAAGCACCACCCTCCTTTTAAAGCTTCCAGTCTGTTATTCTAACTCAAATCAGCATGACAGAGTGATCTCCAGCCTTGTCCTCGTCAACACTCTCAACTGTGTTAACGAAATAATCAGGGCAGGGCTGAAATGCAGTGGAAATGTTTTTTGGGGATTAAGTTCATTTTCATGGCAAAATGTCTCACTCAGTTTTGATGATGGCAAATTCATCTGACCACTCTTCATGACATTCTGGAGTATATGCAAATTGCCATCATCAAAACTGAGAAAGCAGACTGTGAAAATTAGTATTTGTGTCATTCTCAAAACTTTTGACCACGACCGTATGTAAACTTCTGACCCACTGGAATTGTGATACAGTTGTTGATTTAGGTGCAATCTTACTAGCAGCAATATCCTTGCCTGTGAAGCCCTTTTTGTGCAAAGCAATGATGACGGCACGTGTTTCCTTGCAGGTAATCATGGTTAACAGAGGAAGAACAATGATTTCAAGCACCACCCTCCTTTTAAAGCTTCCAGTCTGTTATTCTAACTCAATCAGCATGACAGAGTGATCTCCAGCCTTGTCCTCGTCAACACTAGCACCTGTGTTAACGAAATAATCACTGACATGATGTCAGCTGGTCCTTTTGTGGAAGGGCTGAAATGCAGTGGAAATGTTTTTTGGGGATTAAGTTCATTTTCATGGCAAAGAGGGACTTTGCAATTAATTGCAATTCATCTGATCACTCTTCGTGACATTCTGGAGTATATGCAAATTGCCATTATCAAAACTGAGAAAGCAGACTTTGTGAAAATTAGTATTTGTGTCATTCTCAAAACTTTTGACCACGACTGTACAGTACCAGTCAAAAGTTTGGACACACCTACTCATTCAAGGGTTTTTCTTTATTTTTACTATTTTCTACATTGTAGAATAATAGTGAAGACATCAAAACTATGAAATAACACATATGGAATCATGTAGTAACCAAAAAAGTGTTAACCAAATCAAAATATATTTTATATTTGAGATTCTTCAAAGTAGCCACCCTTTGCCTTGACAGCCTCGCACACTCTCGGCATTTCCTGGAATGCATTTCAATTAACAGGTGTGTTCTTAAAAGTAAATTTTTGAAATTTATTTCGTTCTTAATGCGTTTGTGCCAATCAGTTGTGTTGTGACAAGGTCGGGGGGGTATACAGAAGATAGCCCTATTTGGTAAAAGACCAAGTCCATGTTATGGCAAGAACAGCTCAAATAAACAAAGAGAAACGACAGTCCATCATTTCTTTAAGACATGAAGGTCAGTCAATACGTAACATTTCAAGAACTTTGAAAGTCTCAAGTTCAGTCACAAAAACCATCAAGCGCTATGATGAAACTGGCTCTCATGAGGACTGCCACAGGAATGGAAGACCCAGAGTTACCTCTGCTGCAGAGGTTAAGTTAATTAGAATTAACTGCTGCCCAAATAAATGCTTCACAGAGTTCAAGTCACAGACACATCTCAACATCAACTGTTCAGAGGGGACTGTGTGAATCAGGCCTTCATGGTCGAATTGCTGCAAAAGAAACCACTACTAAAGGACACCAATATAAGAAGTGACCTGCTTGGGCCAAGAAACACGAGCAATGGACATTAGACCGGTGGAAATGTGTCGTTTGATCTGGTCCAAATTGGAGATTTTTGGTTCCAACCGCCGTCTTTGTGAGACGTGGTGTGGGTGAACGGATGATCTCTGCATGTGTGGTTCCCACCGTAAAGCATGGAGGAGAAGGTGTGATGGTGTGGGGGTGCTTTGCTGGTGACACTGTCTGTGATTTATTTAGAATTCAAGGCACACTTAACCAGCATGGCTACCACAGCATTCTGCAGCGATACGCCATCCCATCTGGTTTGGGCTTAGTGGGACTATCATTTGTTTTTCAATAGTAGAATAGATGAACTGTAGTGTAACAGTAGAATAGATGAACTGTAGTGTAACAGTAGAATATAATCATGTAGTAACCAAAATCATGTAGTAACCATCTCCCGGCTATCTACCTCTCTGTCAACCGGACGGGACCACCTAGTGTTGACACGGAGCCCCGCCGATCCTACACGACTGGTCTGCCGACGAAATCGTCTGATGTGGTTACGACGTCGACCATGAAGATTCCATCTGCTAGCCCCGGCCCGCTAGCACACGCTAGCCGTGGCCTCTTACTCGCTAGTGCTTTAGCAGCCTCCGAACTATCCTATTGCTGTTCACCGGACCTTATGATACCTCAGCTATACAGCTGATGTCTGCTGGACTGTTCCTTTTTACGGTACTGCATCCTGTTTATGTTTAGCCTCAGCCCAAACTGTGTCATCATTACCAGCTGTTGTCTTAGCTCTCTCAAATTACACCTGTGATTGCTTTATGCCTCTCTCCCTTGTCAACATGGTTAGCTTATTGTTGTTTCGGTTATTTCTAATTGTACTATTTCACTGTATATAATATATAATATAATATGCCATTTAGCAGACGCTTTTATCCAAAGCGACTTACAGTCATGCGTGCATACATTTTTTTTTTTTTGTGTATGGGTGGTCCCGGGGATCGAACCCACTACCTTGGCGTTACAAGCGCCGTGCTCTACCAGCTGAGCTACAGAGGACCACTGTAGATCCCCCAGCCCAGCTAAACCTGCCTTAGATAGCTCCTTTG